AAAGAGAGCTGGACTTGTCAGTTGGAACTGGAAATACGGTACAAGCTTTCAGGGGTCCCTGAGGCCTCTACTTTCAAATCAGTGAAAGAACAGCTCCACATGAAAGAATAGGGGCTCGCTGTACTCCAGAGTGGGAGAATGAGCTCCTGGGGTTCTGCTGAATGAAAGGGAAAATGAAAAGGAGGGAATGCTGCTCAGAAACACTGTTTTGTGTGGCATGGAGTTCAGCTGTCTCCTACCAGTTCAGAGTAGGGGACTGTAGCATGACATGATGAGGGTTAAGGTGAGACCAGACGGCAAACTGCATAGCCATAGACATAAAAGTGTCTGCGAAAATGCTTTGCTCAGGGCCCTCCAACACTACATTCTTCATGGTGATAATGGCAGAAGAGTGGCTCTTTGTGCTCTGCTGCTGAATGGGGTAGGATGCTTTCAGCAATTATTCTTAACAACCATGGATAGAGGGGGGAGCAGATGATGTTAATCAATGTCCGGTTTGGAAAAATTATTGCAAGATGCAATGGATTGATAAGGAGGAAAATCTGAATGTTAAAGGAACTATTTATTCACAATATGCATCCATGAAACAGACAAAATATAATTTCTTAGAAAGCACATGAGATTTACTGTCCCCATTCTCATTTTGCATAAATGTTCTTTGTTACTTGGATCAACGCAGAATACATAAAATGTCCTAGATGCTTTGAAAACAGTATCGCAAAGCACAAAGCAACAAAAATATTCCACCCCTATGGTTCATGTTGTTCAGACAATATCATTTTATTATCAACATCTAAAAAAAAACATTCAGAAATGGGTCAGGAACCCATTTAAATGACATGAGTTCAATGGTGTACTCAGACAAAAGAAATCCAGCTCACTTGACTGCTAAAGTTAACTGAACAAGACAATTCCTTACAAGGATCTGCACAGTATAGCTAGCTGTATTGTACTAATGTAGTAATATTGGATAAATTTCATTTTATGGAGTGGACCTGAACCTACATTTTATTTGGTTTGGGTTGGTTTGGCTTTTGGAAAGCTGTAATTAAAAAGATGTAATTATTTCTTAGTATGGCTGAGGGTGATATTTAACTGAAAACAACCCAGAGGAAAACAAGCTTGTGAATCTATAAAGGGATCAGAATAATGTGGTTATGGTAGTTAAGGTTTAGTGTGAAAACAGTTCAAAGAAAGTAGGATTGTAATTTAAAATAACATCTCATTAGTTGGTTTAATTACTCACTGCCAGCTCTAATTGGTTTTTAAGACTGGAAACCAAAAAAAACACATAGCACTTAGGAAAAAAGAAAGGATTTTTACCCCCGGTAAGCTGGACGCAAGATGAAGGTTCCTTTTGCAAAGATTAAGATTCTGACTAGGTTTCTTAGCTACTTTGAATTATACTGATTATTCTTTATTTGCAAATAAAGTCAAACAGCTGCAATATTAATTGAATATTTCTCTAACATTTTCTTAACTTTTCCTTATCAGTAAAAAAAAAGTCTTTTAGAAGTCTTTTAAAGCTATTCTTAAGACTCTTATGTAGATAAGCAGTTTACTAGGTGATAATTTTATGTGCAATATTTTTCTTTATGTCCTTACAAGCCTTCTAATAGAGGGTTAAATTCAGCCTTCTGTTCATTTGCTAGCTTGTGTGAGTAGCTGGCAGAGACCATGGCACACAGAGTTGGATGCTTAGCAACATGAACAGAAAGACCATCCCCAAAAAGATGAGCAGTCCACCTGGAAAATGAGTAATAATGAGACAATGACTTACTTTTGATGTTTATAAGCCCAGTATGAAATCTATGTTAAATCTTGAGTCAGGCTTAGGGACTAAAAGTTCCTGTCCATCAGAGTAGGGAATTATGTGCTAAATCTGTTTCTGATTAGACTTTATTAAGTAATTTCTTTCCCCTTGGCCCAGAAATCCAGAACACCTTGAAACACTAGTTCTTTTTTAAAATTAAAACTTGCACGTTCTTTTCATTTCAGGTCCTTCAGATTTCATAAGAATGAATATTCTAAGACAGCATGTAAATCCACAAGAATTTACATGAGTCTATTATCCTCTCATAAGAAAATCTCCCAGGTTGAATCAAACCATGAAACCAGCTCCAGTTTAAGTATCTTAGTGAAAACTAGAAAATCAAACTTTTAATTGGTTTCTTGGAAAATCAAGGATAAACTTTATAATAAATGCTTGCCTAGTCCTAAAGTGGTAGGTACTTTTTCTCCCCAGCTATCTCAGGTACAGCAACAGTGTCTCACTTTTGACATTGACCCTAGTCAACATTCTTACACTTTTCCTTGAATCAGATCACTTTGGAAGGTTTTCTTCAAAAATTCTCCAAGGAAGATGAAATAATTTGGTATTTTAAAGTGCTTCCATGGTCTTTCCTGCATTGGAATGCATACTTGAGGCTGGTGGAATGTGAGAGACTGACTATGCTGATGACCTTTACTTCTTTGCCACATTCCTGCATTAGGCATTGATACCCTTCATTGGCGGCTGGAAGTAATAAAAGCATTCATATCATCTAGATGTCTGAATTAACCAAAGATTCCTGGGCACATTCTATTACTTGGGTTTTCAATGTAAAACAAAATGTTCAGTCAATATTTTACCCATGCATTTTGTGTAACAAAATCAAAACCATGATTCTGTCCAAAGTTACATTTTTCACAGATTTTTCAAAATCAAAAATAACAGGATATAAAATTTTAGAATCTACATTTTATGCAATGTATAAGTGTTCATAATCTTTAAATTTGGAACTTATTTGGAACCATTTCTTTCAAGAATCTACCTTTTTTTGAACATTCTATGTTGTAGTAACTACAACAACAGTTAGTGAAAATGTTAAGTCTGGAATCCTCAGTTTTAATGGATGAAATATTTTTTCAGGGGTAGCCTTGATCATGAAATTAGTTCTTCCCAGGCCTTCCAATCCTTTTAAAATTTCAAGGCCAAGGTATATTTTTATGTCTGAGTTGTGAAGATGGGATTATTGTCTATTTTGAATAATTATTTTTAGAGTCAATCTTGACTGATAACTGTAGTGATGCTGACAGTTAAATATTGATTATTTATATAATTATCAGTCCTGCCTATATGTGATAGTAGATGCTTTAAAAATAGTGTATATGGTGAAGGCAATAGGATAGTAGAGCACATCATTAAAATTACATCAATGTTTCAAATAATTGAAGGAAATTACAAATATTTTTAAGATGTACTGGTAATTTAACCGCCTTTACAGTTTTGAGTATAATTTTCCTAGCACATTTCCCTGAATCAAAAAAGAAACTAAAAGAAAGAAACAAAAAAGAAACTAATTATAGTTGCTTCCTTGCAGTTTTTCAATTCTCTGAGGCACCTTTATGACCAATCATGATACCTCCTCATTTCAGAGTTAATGAGCCAAGAAGATGAAAGTTGTTTCAGTTCTTGTTCTTCTATTTCTACTGTTGCATTTGTTCCTATCCTTCAAGCCTTCTAAAGGACTGAACCAAACAAAATAAAGGTTTCAGTACTGCATTCTCAGAGCAATGTTCATATTATAGCTGATTACATTCTCAGGAATGACAGCCCTGATTGATTATATTGATGCTTATATTTTTGAGTTATGTGGAAAAGAAAAGCAAATCAAAATTGGGTTCACAGATTCACATGCCTTAAATATTCAGTTGTAGCCCATGGAACATAAAATTATATATATAATGTTTTGAAAGAAAATATAAATGCAGATATGTGCACTGTAATTAGACAGTTATTAGGTGACATTCCTGCTTAAAGAAAATCTTATATATTGAGATTGTTAGAAGCTGATTTATTCCTTTAATCTCAGCTAGTAGATACTGCCACAATAGGTAATAGATATAGTACATACCAGGGTATTAGTTGAGCATTTATAGAAGTTTCCAAAAAATGTTATTTTGTTACTAGTTAAAGTAGTTTACTACAAAGTAGTTTGGTACTAGTTTAAGTCACTCTCTGGCATAGATATGGTCTTTGGAATATTAGAAGTTAGGAAATGGGGGGAAAAAAATCCCAGCCAAACAAAAAACACCCACCACATTTGAAGTCCCTGAGAGAAACAAAGTCAGGTGAACCAGGAAAAAATAATTTCTTACTTTTCCATTATTCTTCATCTCTGTTGAAGACAATATAATGTGATCTATATCTGCATTGGATGTCTCTCTCTTTCTACCTCAAAAAAATTTTTTTGCATTCTGCCAGTCTAAATGGCATATTTACAAAGAACCAAAGAAATTAAAGTAGCAACATTTAGTCAGAATCTTGTCTGTAACCTCAAAAATTGTTTTAGGGTTGTACTAGAAGCAGCAGTAGTGATGTTTGGTATTTGCACAATAGTGTATTTTTATACAAACTCTTCTACTTATTCGTTAGCCAAGGCACATGACTGTTCTGCTGGGTATGCATAATCTTCTATACATAGGATTTAATTTGGGACCTCACTCACATCTAAAATTAAGTAATTAGGAGTTTGAAGCCAAGATTAGCAGAAAAGATGATTGAGAATGGTATATTTTGTTTTAAGAGTCACGATATTTTTTACGAATGAGTTTTAGACCATGGCCTAAGTGTGAACACAGACCAAGTAAAGCCCCAATAATGACCTTCAAATCACTTTTTAACTTTCAGCTTCACACTCCTGTCTTTCCCACTACCTCATAAGCAGCAATGACCCTAAATAAGAGATAATAGCACAAATAATTCCAAGCTGCATCCTAGAGAAGAATTTTAGGCAAGCAATTGATAATACTTCACTATAAAACTAGGATAATCAGAAATAAACAAGATTAGATATCAATAAGAAATAAAAAGACCTGACAGAGGTTTCAGTACATTTTGGACTAACCATTTGAATTATTGCTTTTTTCCTCCTATTAAATAACAATTGTACCAGCTCTTCAGAATATCAACTCTGATTTTTTTTTTTTTTTTTTTTTTTTTTTTTTTTTCCCCACAGAAAGCAGTTACTGTATGACAGCTTTTTAAAGTGACCTGTACAGCATTCTTGGCAAATACATCCTGTTCCTTAAATGGTGCTTTTGATTTAGGGTTAAAAATGAAAGGCAAATCCCTGTGAACCATTTATGTCCCATATATTGTCTGCAATAAAACAATTGTACAGTTTTTCTGGAGTAAATTTATCCTATAGTGATAGCCAAACATTTATTTTCTAACTTCCATGAAATTTTGGTTTAGTATTCTTGGGTTTTTGTGAATTTCAAGATGACAGTAAAATAATATTTATGAAGCATAATGCATAAAGATGTTATGCCTTTTGTAGGATTAAGAGATGTTTGTTTGTATGAATGACTGTGTGCTTTGCCCCCAGTTGAATATAAAAATAAGCATCTCATGAAACAGCAATCGTATTGTGATTTTTTTTTTTTTTTTGGCTGCCTTAAAAGAAACATAATAAGTCTATTTGCATTTTGAAATGTACTGAGAGCCACAACGGATCATTAAGTTCTTCTCAATTCCACCTGATGGTGCATGTAGAAGAGTACCCTGCAATATTGCATTAGTGACACTTTCATTATCTGAAACTATTTCTGTACCCAGGCAAAACTATTCCTGTAATACTCCTGTCTCACTGTGTTTTGTGTATGTGGAAGACTGATTTGCAATGTCATTCTTGGGCCCTTATGGTTCACTAAGAGTTGATGAAGTTGTGTGTGTGAGCTGTGGACCTTATTGAGCTATATTATTGCTTTGGTACTATTTAGTGTGTGAACATGCAAGGATTAGAGGAGAGCATTTTCTCTATTCCATGAATTTCAGTATATTTGTGAGAGAACTGTAGTACAGTACAACAGGTAAAAGAAATTTTTATGCTCATATTTTAAAATAAGTGACTGAGATAAAAATTTAAATTAACTCAGTCACTGTATACTAACAACCAGTAAAATATACAGGTAGCAAGACAACATAACATGCCTTTCAGTGTAGTTTTATATACAAAACTCTATTTATGTTTTCAATATCTAATTTAAAACTTATTAAATATATTAAAAAACTATCTATTCCTATTTGTTGTTGATATTACTAACAAAACAAACAAACAAACAACCTTTACCTATATTACACATTTTCACTATATTTTTATTGTAGATTAAGAATTACTTTTCTATTAGTAAGCTGTTCATACTAGTACTATCTGTGATACAGGACTTTAAATCACACCTAGCAGGTATCAACATGGGAATTTAACAAAGAAAATCTTAGAAAACTGTCTTCCTGGTTAAACAAGCAAGCCTTGATCCAAAGTTAAATCAAAAAACATCCTGTATTTTATCTGTTTTTTTTTTTCCTCTTCCCCAAAAACTAACATGATCACCAGTGTGCCTTTTAAATATAATTGTACCTGGGTTTTTTTCCAAAGTTTATTTTCAAATGGTAATTACATACGTAAAAATCTTAATTTACTTTGTTAGTAGCTCTTATTTATCATTGTGACTGTAGCTGTGCATTGAACCATTGCATTTGGGTAGATTTTGTGGTTGCCTTCAATGGAACTAATTCCATAAGTAAAGCTGCTCAGGCATGTTTATGGGGTTCACTCTTTTCCTCAAGGAAAGTTTCAAAATGTAGAAATATTCAAAATAACAAAAAATATTTTCATCTAAGGGAAAAAAAAAAGCAGCAAAACAGGAGAGATAAAATCAAAGCCTCAGAGCTAAGCCTCAAGCATGAATGGCAAAACCAAGAAACTGAGGTCATATTCTGTTTTTCTCTTTGTGCTTTAGCACTAAATCACAAATTATTGCCAGAAGCAATATTAAAATTTTAAATGACATACTTGGGATGCCGTGTAAAATTGATATGCATCTTGTTGCAAAATAATACCAAACCCTAAAGATCAATAACTAGAAAGAACTATTATTTTTTCTTATTTCCTTCCTGAATGTTGTATTGAAATTGTTTCTTTTAGTGGACTTCTTCCAAAAACTTCAGTCTATCTTGTATTCTGTCTTTTTTGATCTTTCAAGTCTTCATCTAGCTTTTATTTTAACATACTGATGACCGAGTTAATGACTTTATTTCTTTTTTGTCAAATGTACTTGAGTTTTGCATTTGTTGCTAATTAGAAATCAAATGAATCTCATTTAAGGGGTCTTGTAACCTTTTTCTACAATGAGAAAGGGCCAGGATTTCTCATCTGAAAAACTGTAGAACTGTCAGCACCTAATGGGTTTGTCAATGCTATTAGAAGTAAATAATAAACACAGAAAATGACTTGACACGAACTACTGCTAAACATCAACAATGAGCTTTACAGCACAAATCAATATTTTTCCAAGAGAGTGACTATTTATCGAAGGCAATAAAAGCTCTGGTGAGAGAACAGGAACATTTTCCTGTTCAATTAGCCTAGATCCCTTTTGAAAATGTGAAATGGAAAAATGATGGCAGATCCACATGAAACAAGTGTGATGTATTTTGCTAAAGTGTGTTTTCATATGAGTTTCATATACTTTTCCATAGATAGTAAAGACCGTATACTTGGATTATGTTTGTGTGGCAAGGCAGTGGAGGAGGGGGCTACAGGGGTGGCTTCTGTGAGAAGCTGTCAGAAGTTTCCCCATGCCTGACAGAGAAAAGGCGAGATGGATACAAGACAGATCCATCATTGGCCAAGGCTGAGCCCATCAGTGACAGTGATAGCACCTCTGGGATAAAATATTTAAGAATTGGGAAAGCATTCTATACAACAGCAACTTGGAGAGAGGAGTTAGAATATGTGAGATGAACAACTCTGCAGACACCAAAGTCAGTGCAGAAGGAGAAGGTGCTCCAGGAGCAGGAGATGAGGTTCTCCTGCAGCCTCCGGTGAAGGCAATGGTGAGGCAGGCTGTCTGACAGCAGGCTGTGCAGGATCCCACACTGGAGCAGGTGGATTTACCTGAATGAGGCTTTGTCATGATGAGAAACCTGCTCTGGAGCAGCCTCCGGGCAAGACCTGTATCTCCACAGAGAAGGAACCCCAAGCCGGAGCAGATTTTCTGGAAGCACTTGTACCCTCATGGGGAACCCGCACTGGAAAAGTCTGTTCCTGAAGGACTGCACCTTGTGGAAGGGATCCACACTGAAGCAGTTCATGAAGAACCCCATGGGAACAACTCCATTGGACAAGTTCATAGAAGACTGTCACTTAGAAAGGAGGCCATGCTGGAGCAGGGGAGGAATGTGAGAAATCCTCTCCATGAGAAGGAAGGAAAGGTAGAGACAATATGTGAGGAACTGACCCATTTCTCATCCCACTGCACCACTGTGGCAGTGTAAATAAAGACTTTGGGGATAAAGTCGAGTCAGGGAAGAAGAGAGGGAGGGAGGGAGGAAGTTTTTTAAAGATTTGACTTTATTTCACCTCCTACCCTTTATTACCCTACCCTGCTTTAATTGGTGATAAATCAACCTAATTTCCTGAAGATCAGTCTCTTTTGCCAGTGAAGATAATTGTTAAGTGTCTTTATCTCAATCCAGGATCCTTCTCTTTTATTTTTCCTTCCCCAAACCACTGAGGAGGTGTGGCAGTGTGCCGCAGGGGCGACAAAGGGTTACATTGTCTCACCCCAAACCCCTTGCAAAGGGTGGCCCAGGTGTTCTGATTGGGTTTGAGTCCCTGGGGGGTTCTCCCTTGTTGTGTTTCTAATGGTCCCTGACCCTGAACTCCAGCCTCAAGGGTGGAGACCCTCAAAAGTTCTGTCCCTCAAAAACCCCTGTTCGGCCTCTGTTTGGAGCTCTCTGTTCTGGACCTGACTTTGTTCCCATGCTGAATAAATGGTTTCATGAACGGGAGCCCATCTCAGTTGGTGTTCCATGCTGGTCCCCAGAATCCTCCTGCTTCCCTGGACGAGATGCTGAGGTTGCTGACTGCAACAAGGAGGGATGTGATGGAGCAGCTTTACTGGGCACCTGGCATCCAGCCAGGGCCAACCCACCATGTATGTAAATCTGTTATAATATAAAAAGCTATTTCATGTTTTCTGCATATGCCATTTTAGTGTGTGGTCTTTTCATTTAAGCTTACATTTCTAATTTTTAAAGAAATTGCCTTATATTTGATATGATGATATAATCTTTATTTTATCCAGATATTTTCACACATTAGAATATGGTAAAGAACATTAATTCACATTCTTTCATGTTGCAATAGGATTTGTTAATAGTAAAACAGTGGAAGTTTCTTCTCCCTACCCCTTACAGTCGATAATATATACCTTGGTATTTTCAAGCAGTGTATCCTTCTAAAGGATCTAGAAACCTAGAAGCAACTCTTTTGTTTTCAGAGCTGGTTAACGTGCCTTTGTAAAATCTGCTTCACAGCATCAGTGGTTGTGTAGGCTAACTTTTTACATTCTTTTCTTCCTAATATCCTCATTGAAGAATAGATGACTGCAGACTTGGCTCTTCATATATATCTAAAAAAAAGCACACCAATTTTCTTTATGTTGTCTTGAGTATTTAAAGCATTATATAAATGGTAAGACTAAAATTATTAATAAGATACAGCATTTGAAGGAAATCAACTACAAAGAAAGATCAAAGAAAAACACTGGTGTTCTTTATATATTAGAGGATCACTTAGCTGGGTTTTAAAAACACACACATACAGCACATATGTTATATAAATCATACATATATCTAATTAAAATTGCAATGATGGCCTATAACCAAGAGAAAAAAAGGCTGATGTATTAGAGAAGGATTTCAGTTGTTTATAAGGTTTTTACAAGACTGCCAAAATTTAATTGTTTGGGTGGAATTGAAGGCTAATTTTCTTCCTCAGGCTTGCTTTTTGCAAAGTTTTAGCGAAATGATCAAAAGGTTTCTTCTAATTAGTTTAAGGAAATCACACTGTTTTTCATCTGCAAGAAGATCAAGAATGTTCTGTTTGGTTTTAAAGAAATGTATAAAACTTTGTGGCACAAACATAAAAATCAGAAAGCTGTCTTATTTATGCATGAAGGGTGAATTCTGCTATTCTACAAAAATTGTACTAAAGTTGCTACCTCTGAAAACTTCACTTTGTATATGCACAGCCATGGCTTGTGTACTCTGTGTAGGTCCTATAGGCATTTTGTACAGACATAAGTCTGAGGACGACC